TCATCGGTGGGCTGCCCAAAGCCGCTTCCCTGGCTCTCCGTCGCTTTTGACCGGCGGAGCGATTCTCGAAGTTCATCCTCTGAACATGGGCCTCGAAGCCTGCCCAGGGATCCCATTCGCCCGCCGCACGACGACGCGCGGCTTCATCCATCCGAGCTTGATTGGCTTCATCCTCCGCGATGAGGTCCCGCTTGCGTATGTACCCCATGGACGCACGCGGTGACCGGTCAAGCGAATCACCCGACGCCGCGCGTGAAGTGCGCTCGCGTCGTCGCGTGTCGCCGTCGCGCGCTTCTATCGCGTTCGCATCGTCCCCCGACGCCGCGCCGTCGCGCGTCGCCGCCGACGCGAGTGGTGACCGGACGAGCGAATCCCACTGACGTATGGTGCAAAAAATGTGTGGCTTGGGGTGACTTATTTGTCCACACATGCTAAGAAGCTTTGCTTACCCAAGATGCGGGAGTCGGGAGTCGGGACTCGTGAGTCGTGAGTCGTGAGTCGTGAGTCGAGGATGGGTGTCATCTGTGTCGACCCGGACGAGGACGAGACGACGGCGTCGATTGGACGTGGAATCACGCGCGGATGAGAATTTTGCGTCGACCGATGGAGGTTTGGACGTCGGTGCGCGCGTCGGCGTCGGCGTCGGTTCTGAGGACGCGGAGGACGTCGGCGAGCGGGACGTCTCGCACGCGGTCGAGCGGCGTGCGGAGCGTCCCGGAGCGGATGGCGTCGGAGACGCGAGCGAGCATGTCGAGGCGTCCGGCGCCTCCGGTCTCGATTTCATCCCTGGCGAGCCAGCGAGAGAGCCAGAATCCCTTGAGCGCGATGTCCTTGAAGATGAAGGCGCCGGTGGGGGCGACGAGCGGTTGCTTGGACATGCCGCCGTACGTCACGAGCTCCGATCCGCTCTCGGGCTGGAGTAGTCGTAACATGATCTGCGCGCTGTGTCCACCCACGGCATTGAAACCGAATCGCGCGCGCGAGGCGAGCTCTCGCGTTCGCTCGTCCAGACGAAGTCGCGTTGAGTCCGTGTCCGCGAGCACGACATCCGCGCCGTCCGCTCGGAGCGATTCATAAGCCTCCTCCGTCGCCACCGCGCTCTCTCGCGGTCGACACATCGCTATCGTTCTAATACCTCGCCCTCGAGCGAGCTGTAACAGCGCCCGTCCCACTCCGCTCGTCGCCGCGTTCACCACGACTGTCTCGCCCTCTCGCGCGCCGCTATCCTCCAACAACCGCCACGCCGTGCACGGATTCACCGTGATCATCGCCGCCTCGTGCACTGGGACGTCCCGATCGATCACATCAAACATTTTCGCCGACGCCACCACCTCTCTTCGCCACGTTCCACCGTCGTACGACCTATTCGCGACGACGCGCTCGCCCACCATCCGTCCGCTCGCCGGTCCCGCCTCCGTGATCTCTCCCACGCCCTCCGCCCCGGGAACGCGCGGCGGCGCGCGAGCGCCCGGGTACGTCCCTTCGATCGCGTTCACGTCGCTCGGATTGACGGGCGAGGCGAGGATTCGGACGCGCACGCGATCGCCCTCGACGGTTGTTTCCACCGGGACGTCGTCTCTGAACGTCAAAACCTCGCACGGTGGACCGCGAACGTCGTGCCACAGCGCCTGGGTGTGCGCTCGACGCGCGGTGTGACGCACCGCCGCGAGCGCGCGCATCGCGAGCGGGCGCACGGCGCGACGGGGAGTGCGGGACGCGCGCTAATTGAGAAGTTGCACTTTTTGAAGAAATTCATCAAAACCTCGAGCACATGTCCGCGTGCGCGGCGTGCAGGTCGACGAGGACGGCGTACGCGTGTCCGAGATGCGGCGCCCGCGTGTGCGCGCTGAAGTGCTACGATGGACACAACGAAGGGAGGTGCGCGAGGGCGTTTCGGGACCGCGAGGCGGAGGACGCGTTGCGCGGCGAGCGCGCGAGCGACGACGCCAAGGAGGCGATGCGCGAGGTCTTGGTGCGACGGGCGCGAGGGATGATCGGGAGTGAGGGCTCGGCGAGCGATGACGAGGGAGGGGAGAGCGAGGGTGGGGAGAGTGAGGACGAGAGCGGCGGCGGCGGCGCGCGGTGCGCGCTCAGCGAGGCGAGTCTGGAACGGCTTAGCATCGGCACTGAGCTCGATGTGGACGGATTAAGCGAAGAAGAACGTGCGAGTTTCGAGCGTGCGCTCGCGAGCGGGGCTCTGTTCGAGCGTTGGATCCCGTGGTGGGAGTCGGCGGCGGCGGGAAGCGAGCGCGCGAGCGCTCGCGGATGTCGAGCGGTTGAGGTCGCGGACGCCCCAGCGGAGACCTCAGGTAAGGCGTCGGAGAGTGATATTCCTCCGCTCGCGAGCCCGAGCGAGCTTTTGGACCCGTTCGAGGTCTTGAGTGGAGGACGAGAAGCCCCGGAGGCGCTTCGATGGCACTGCGTCAACGCGCTCGCCGCGTACACGCTCGTCAAGCGCGTGTACAACGGCGATTGGCGCGGGGCCGAGCTCGAGGCGTGCGAGACCGCGCTCGAACTCTCCGCCGTTCTGAGCGCCGAACACGGCGCCGTACCGGAGGCACAGTGCGCCGCCGACGCCGTGCTCGACGTCGTCCGCCGAGCCGCCGCGTCGCTCCGCGCCGCCTCCACGCGAGAGCTCCACGCCTCTCTCCTTCGCGACGTCCTCGCCGTGTTCACCCTCGGTCCATCGGCGTGCGTTCGCGCCTTCCTGGATCTCACGCGAGCCCTGGACGCGGCCGACGCGACCTCGCGCGCGCGCCGCCGCGGCGCGTCCCGCCGCGCCCGCGTCCGGGCCAAGGCGCGATACCTCGCCGCCTACCTCGCCGCCACCCCCGACGTCGCGCGTCGCGTCGCCCGCGCCCTGGACGACGCCCGACCGTTTCTCGACGACGCGTCGTCGCCGGACGATCGCGCGCGCCCGCTCGCCTTTTGACCCGGTGTCGACGTCTAGGCTCGAGCGATGTTTTCGAGAAAACGCCCGAAAACGCACCACGTGGTGCTTTGCATCACCCACGGCACCGCGCCGGGAAAAATCCACGCGTCGTCGTATTCATCGTACGTTCGCGGGAGTCTCATTATTTATCCTTGGACATTGCGCGTGGGCGGTGATGTCGTCCCCATCGCACTGTTCGCCCACACGAGCCGCGGGGACATGATGATTTTTTTCCCCTCTGCGCTGGCGCGCGCGCGTCCCCGCACACGTCCGCGTCCACGCGTCGCGCGCGATGACGGGACGACGACCGCGGACGGTGACGATGGTGTCCACGGTGCTCGTCGCGACGTGCGCGCTCGCGCTCGCGCTCGCGGCGACGCCGGTGCGCGCGCAGTACGGGAATGTGTATAAACCGTACAGTACGTACTACGGCCAGCCGGGGTACACCGGGCCGACGACCGCGAACTCGATGGCGTGCACGACGGACGGCACGACGAAGATCACGAAGTTTGGTCCCGATTTCGGCACCGCGTGCGCGTCGAGCTCGTCGGCGAGCGTGTGCAGCGGCACCGCGAGCGCTTCGACGGGGTGCTGCGACCGAGACGCGGCGGGCGGCGGCGGCGCGTGCAATCAATACACGTGGGAGTACGAGACCTACAAGTACTGGGTACAAGATGAAAGGCCGAATCTCCCGAAGCCTTTCACCGGGATCCCTCGCGTGGACATTAAGACGAACAAGGAATACAAGGGTCAGATGGCCATCACGGACTCGTACATTGGCTCCATCATCGGCCAAGCGCTTCCGGGTCTCGTCATCGCCATCTTGCTGTTGTTGTCCATGATTCTCGTCTTGGTGTTTTACATCCTCTCTTCCTGCTGCAAGTGCTGCGGTTTGTGCAACTGCTGCTTCCGGCCCGCGCCGTACACGCGCAAGTCGCTGCACATCGCGAAGGGCATTCAGCTCGTCTTCGTCGTGCTCGCCGCGTGCGGATGCTTCGTCATCTTTGCCGGATCGCCGGATGTTCACGACGGTGTGTCGCTCCTCACCAGTGGTTTGTTGAACGCGTCGGTGGCGCTTCAGGATGACGTTGACATTCTCGCAAACGCCGTCGGCAGCCGTCTTGGGACCGAGGTGACCGATCTGCAAAATGCGGCTGATACCGTCACCAGCGCCATCAAAAGTACGAACAAAGCCATCGATAGGGCGAAGGATCAAGTACAGCTCGGCGCTGACATCGTCTCTGGCGTGCTCCTCGGCATCGCCGTTCTCACGATGATTCTCTCCATCCTCAACTTTTGGCGCATCCTCATCCTCTTCTCCATCTTGACGTCGTTGATTCTCATCATCACCTGGATCGTCGTCGGTGCTTTGGCCGCGGTCGGTGTCTTTCTCGACGATTTCTGCTACTCGGTGGACAGATACGTCGAGGATCCGCAGCAAATCGATCTGAGCAAGGACATTCCGTGCGCGAAAGAGAAGGACGTCATCGAGTTCGGCAACGCTTTCCGACAGTTGATTGCCTCCGTCACCGATGAGATGAACAAGGCAATCGACGCATCGTACTCCGGTAATCCTGGTCCAGGTTACATCTGCATGCCGTACGAAATGCAAACTTTGGACGACTTGTGTGGAACGAGCGCTGCGCTCCAGGCGGGGAGCTTCAGAGGACCACTGTGGAACGACGAGTACGCCAACTACGTGTGCAAGGCGTACCATCAAGCTAAGCTCCCACCGGGTACCACGGCGTTCCCGTCGTGGGGTTGCCTCACCTCGCCAGCCTGTGGTACTGGTTACACAAACGGCACGGTGTCTACGCGGAGTGCCGCCTGCATGTTCAAGAAAGACCTGGCCACGGTTGACAACACTACGTACCCCAATCTCGCGTCAGATTCGACTTTCACCAGTAATCTCGCCGATGTCCAAGCGTTGAACAACGCTATTCCGACGTTGGAGTCGCTTCTCAAGTGCGACTTCATCAGGAACACCTTCATCGCCATCTCTCCGGGTTGCGGCGCCACGGTCGACGCGCTCCAAATGGTCTGGCGCGGCTTCATCGTCACCGCAGTCGGCTACTTGTGCCTGTGGATCTGCATGCTCGTCACTCTCGGCCGCATGTCCAACGCGGATTTGATGATCGACGGTGGCAGATTCAACGCCAAGAAGGCTGGGTTGGTTTAAACGAAAGTCTCTCGCGAGACCGAATAAGAAACTCACCTCAAGATATGAATAACTTCATCGTCATCTGTGGCGCATCAATTTAACGGGACGAAATCGATCGCGCTCGTGCTCAATGACTCACTAATTGCGCTACAGTCGGTATTATAATCTAAAAAATCCACCAGCAAACGCCGCTCCGGGCGGTCGTCAACTCTCGCGCGCCGCGCGTCTCGCAAAAGTCGCCCTCGCCTCTTCGCTCCGCTTTGCCAGCGCCGCCTTCTTCGCATACGCCTCCGGGTTAAACGCAATCATCCCCTCCGGCGCTCGCGCGTCGGGTGGTTTACTCAGCGCCCTCGGCGGCGCCTCCAGGCGCACCAACCGCGACTCGTCAAACGCGTGCTCCGCCCCTGGAAACACCCGCAGCTTCCGCATCGTCTCCTTACTCCGCACGTTTCTCGGCAACATCCGTTCCACCGCCTTCCTCAACGCGAACGTTGGGTCCCTATCGAACATCTCCCGCGCCGTGCGCGTCACCAACCCCCCGACGTATCCGGTGTGCCGGTGATACAGCTTCTTCTCCATCTTTTTCCCCGTGAGCGCCACCTCGGCCGCGTTCACGACGACGACGACGTCTCCGCTCCCCGAACCGGGCGTGTACGTCGGCTTATCCTTCCCCTGAATCGCCATCGCCAGCCGCGAGGCCAAGCGCCCGAGAACCTCGCCCGAGGCGTCGACGAGGCGATACCGCGCGCCGGCGAGATTCTTGACATTCTTCACCGTCGACGACATCCCGCGCGCCCGTTCGCGCCCTCGAACGCGCGCGCGGACGCGGGTGAGAGGTACCGATCGATTCGCTCGCTCGTGGCGCGTCCGAGGCGCGCGCGGCGCGGTGTGCGGCGCTCGAGACGCGCGCGAACCCTCGCGCCCTAAATTCGAAATCCGCACAATCCGTCGCCATGCGCGCGCGCGCGGCGCCGCGAGCGTCTATACCGGCGCGCATCGCGAGACGAGCGACGTCACACCGCGGGCGCGCGAGATCGGTCGCCGCGAAGGGCGAGAGCGCGAGCGCGAGCGCGTCGAGTGCGTCGAGTTCTTCTGAAGGCTCGGAAAATCCCGTCGCTCCCGCGTCGACGCACGCGAACGCGGACGGCGACTACGAGGGAACGCTGAGATTGTTTTTGGACAGCGCGGACGTCGAGGTCTTCGATGCGTGGCTTCCGACCGGGTTGTTCGTCGGGGTGACGACGAATCCCGCGATCTTAGAGCGAGACGGCGTCGAGTGCTCGGTGGACTCTTTGCTCGCGCTGGCGCGGAACGCCCTTGAATTCGACGCGGTAGAGGAGTTTCAGGTGCAGACGTGGGGGGAGGACAGCGATGAGATGTGGAAGAACGGAATCGCGCTGGCGCGGTTGGATCCGGACCGAGTGGTGGTGAAGGTGCCGGCGACGCTGGAGGGGATCAAGGCGGCGAACGCGCTGGTGGTGGATGGGGTTAGGGTGACCATCACAGCGGTATACGCGCCGCATCAAGTGCTCGTGGCGGCGGCGATCGGGGCGAATTACGTGGCGCCGTATTTGGGGAGAATGAATGACGCCGGACGCGACGGCATGGGGACAGTTATTTCAATGCAAGAGACCGTGGAGGAACTCTCGAGCGATATGCGAGTGCTCGTGGCGAGCATTCGCACTGCCGCAGAAATCTCTAAACTCGCTGCGAAGGGATGCGACACGTTCACGATCAGTGAGAAGGTGGCGATGGAGATGTTCGCGGATCCTCTCACGACGCAGGCGGCGCTCGATTTCCAGAGCGCGGCGCAGCGCATGTCGCCGAAACCACCGGCGAAGAAGGAAAAACCCGCTGAGGTTGAAGAAGTTTTCGAGACCGTGGAAGATTCTGATGACGTTCCGATCGAAGAAGAGGCGAGCAGCGACGCGCGATGAGCAAGCAAAAAACATGTAAAACCAAGCGAAATTCATTTTCATAAACTGGTACCATACAGGTGCACGTACCAGTCTCAGATTACAATATCTTACAGTATCGAACATGTTCACATCCCAAAGAATCGTTGGTAAATCAGTCGTGAAGCATCGAAGGCGGCAGGAGAGACACTGAATTGAGCGCCTCGGAGACGAGCCCCGTGTAGTAAAAACAAGCGAAAGTGCTGCACCTCACTCTGCCCATATCCACTTGAGGCTTTACCTGTGAGGCCAAGGTGGTCGCCCAAGCCTCGGCGAACGTCCCCGATCTGATGACAACCTTTGTCGTCTTGTCAGCGTCCGGAGTCGGAACGAATGCCAGGAGCTCGTTCGGGAGCGCGGCTTCCTTGTCGACGCGCAAAGCGCGAGCTCTGGCGTCAGCCTTCGACCTCGTCGGTTTATCGGACGTCGCCAACGCGTTGAGCTGCGCGACGAGCTCCAAATCTTCCTCCGTTGCCTCATCTTCGATGCGCGCTTCACCTCCTTCGGTCAAAGACAGAGTGTAGCGTTCGCAAACTTGCACCTGTCTGGAGTTCTTCGGGCGTTCAACCGGCGACGCGTCGTGCTCGTAAAAGTCCATGATTGAGCGCATTCTACGACCTGTCGTCTGTCTAAAGAGCTTCTCCATCGCTTCTCTGACGATGGCAACGCGAATTCGCGGCCGTCGGTCCACGCGCAACGCTACAGTCGCCTCACGTTCCGACTGCTTCCCATCACCGCTCGGTTTCTTCTCCGCAACCGCAAGCAACCCAGCGACGACCAAGTCTTCCGAGACATCGTCCGCGCTCTCCGCCTTGTTCGTCCGCGCGCGTTTCTTCGGTCGCGCGTCCACTGGCGGCGCCTCCACGGGCGGTGGCGGCGGAGACGGTTTCTTCTCCGCAATCTTCATGTACTTGAGCATCTCTTCCGTCGTCCCGCACCCTCTCGGAACTCGCATCAATAACCGCTCCGCTCCCTTCTTCAGATCGATCTGCCACGGCTTGGTCGACGTGAGCGCCTGTAAGATTTCAAACTCTGGCAGCAGGATCGTCCCCCACAGGAGTTCCCCTCGCTCGCTCTCCGTCTCCCCCCTTAACCCGCTCACGCGCGCGCAAAACTCCTTCACCGTCTCTCCCTCGTACACCGGCACCTTGGTGGGATGAAAATCCGGAAACACCTCGCCCACTTTCCCCTCCGCGCCGCCCGCGCCCGTCTCCCGCGCCCGTCGTCGTCCGCGCGTCTCTCCCTGCGTCGTCCCCGAGCGCGCGCCACGTCGTCAGTCCGCACGAACCGCACCACATCATCCGTCGCTTCCCCTTCCGCGCCCGCGGCGTCATCGCTCGCGCCACCGCGCCCGTCGCGTCCCCGTCGCCCGCACCTTGTCCTCCATCGCGAGCACGACGTGCCCGACGCGCGCGCGCGCGTCGTCCTCCCCCATCGCGCGCGCGCGCGCGACGTCGACGTTCACGATCGCGCGCCCGACGTCGACGTCCACGATCGCGCGCGACGCCGCGCGCCGCGCACCGCGACGACGACGGATGGGGGTCGATCGCGATCGCGATCGCCCCGGAGGCGGGGTTTGCCGTCGCCGTCGCGCGACGTCCGTGGTTCCGGGTGTTGGGTTTACGCGCCCGTCGACGCGCGACTGCAAGTGCACGTGCACGTCGCGAGGGGTCGTCGCGGCGTCGACGGGGCGTGGACGTATAACACACGAAAACGGTGGATATAAAAAAAAACGCGTGACAAGGAACGCACGCGTTCGGCGTGAGGTCGCGCGCGGTCACGCGATTTTACGGTAAAATTGCCAGCCGTTGGCGTGCCAGTCGTGGGTGAGCCCGGACCAGGCTTTGAGTTGACAGAGACCGTTGGAGTGAAACGAAAAGCCGACGCACGCTTTGTCGTCCCGACAGAGCTGCGCGCACGCCTCGACGCCCGCGACGTGTTTCGTGTGGGGACTGCCGATGATACCGCCTTGTCGATCACCGTTGCCGTCGGGGAAAAAACCTTTGACGTTTCTCCAGTAAAACTGATCGCGGCGCTCTGGTGGAGCCACGACGTCGTACGACGAGTGCGTGCCTTTTGTGTGGCACCGACCGGATACGTAGCTGATGCCCACGCACTTCGGGTTCGCGAGACAGTCATCCTGGCATTTCTTAAGCCCGCGTTCGCCGTTGAGCGTCCAGTCGAGATTTCCATGAATTCTGTCACCGGTAAAAGTCTTGTGAAACTTGGTGAGTTCACACTTTGGATCATCGCCTTGCATAAATCCTTCAGAGAAAAAATGCTCCCGCGCTAACGCCGTATCACCGTCGAACTTTGTCTTCAAGTGAGGATAACGAGCCATGTAGCAGCGAAGATCATCATTTGAAAGTGCGCAGCGCGTCTCACGCTCTTCTTGGACGCCAATCGTGCGCATATGCTCCGCCGCCTTGGCTAGAGATTTGTGTTGCATGTAAGCTTTGCGCACGTCGTCGTATCGAGCAATGTAACATTTCGTAGCTTCGTGCGGACCCGCACACGTTGGATCTCTTCGGAATCGCCGACCAAGGCGGAGGTAGTGAATCTTGGCGTGATCCAGTTTGGACTTTCCGGTAAGATGATTGTACTTCTTCGCAATATCTGGATATCGATCGAGATAGCATTGGGCATCGTCGTCACGGATGTGAGGCCAATGCTTATCTTTCATAGCATGCCTGTAAAAGTGAGGACGAGAATCACACTTGGGATTCTTTCCTTCTTTCCAGCCACTGTGTAACCAGTGTGTCCGCGCGGCTTCGATATCGTTAGCATGCGACCGAGGAACTTCGGGATAGCGTTCTAAATAGCACCGGAAGTCCGCTGGGGCAACTCGTTCACACTTGCTGAGCTTTTTGCGCGCTTCTTGTTTGTGGTGCACGCGCATAAACGTCTTAATATTTGCAATATCGGTCGATTGAGAGACACGACCCGCATACTGACCAAAATATCGGTGAATATCCCAGAAGTTTGAAGCGAAACACATCGCATCCAAATTGTCAATGACGGGCTCGCGCGTGCAGATTGGCTTACGCTTTTCCGATGCGCCTTTTATGAAGTAATGGGTCTTGGCTTTGGTCAAGTCAAAACCAAACGCCTTTCGTACATCATCATAGTTGTCAATGTAACAAACAGCGTCGTAATCATACATGAGCTCGGCGTCATCAAAGTTGTACTTATATCGATCAACGTCTCCCGCACATTTCACAGTTCGACCTTCCATCCAGCCCTTCTTGAAAAAGTGTGTGCGGCCATCGTTCGGTTGACTCCACGGTAAATCTTCATAACGTGCTAAGTAGCACTTCAAATCTGCGTCAGAGATGGAGCAGTGCGCGATGCGGCCTTCGTGCTGTCCCACATCATGGAAATGCTTTTTTGCCGCCTCAAGGTCAGTGCCAAACTTTTTGAAGATGTCCGCGTAACGATTCAGGTAGCACTTCGCCGTATCATCATCCATATAAAACGGCGTCGGCTTCCCGAGCAACGCGAACGGTTCCCACGAGGAGTTCGACGGATGCAGATGGGTGCCGAGAAAGGCACCTTCACTGCTGCCACAATCACCGCCATATTTTTCGATACATATCGCCTCGCAGAAGCCCTGAGATATCTCGAGCGTTATTGGCAAGTTAGGGGCGCCACCATCGCTGCCTACGGTGTACGAAATCGACACACCGGCAAAGTTTGCCATCGACGGGTCCACGTACACGTAAGTGAGAGCGATGTCGAAATCCAGTGGGGGCAGTGGGGATGGAATGTCGATACCAAACCCGAGCGTTAAGAACTCGGCGCGACCAGGAACAGAAGCAATGTCCTTATAGCCCGTGAGTACTATGGCGGCGCTTCCAGCTGCACCAGGTAGTGAGACCGCAATGCCACTGGACTTGACGCATCCTGCGGCGTAGCAGAATTGTCGGCCGTTGAGGTCGAGACCCACGCCAACTTCAGTGGAAACACCCTTTACAGAGCCGAAACCAGTGACATCTGCGCCAACGTCGATACCAAACGTAAACGCCGGTAAATTCCCAGCCTTACCTATCGCCGGACAGGCTTCCCTGAGGGCAATAGCAAATGATTGGAACGCGTTAGCCACCAAATTGACGTTTGGGAACAGCCTTGTCCACGTTGCGTGGCAAAGGGTATCGTCCATTTGATTCAAGTACTTGTTCAAACCACCACCCTTTGTTTCCTCGCGTATGTTTTTCAACATGGATGAAATCGAGTCTTTACTCTGTGCCTTCGAGAGTTCCTTTGCGAAGTCAAAAAGTAGGTCCTGAGATGCCAAGCACTCTAGACCACCGAACAATAACTTGAGAATCGCGATGACGTCGCCGATAACATCGACAATCTGATCGACTTGCTCCTCGATCACGTCGACGGCGTCGTTGAGAAAACCAGAGGTCTGATCATACATTTCATCCAAAGCGCCCGAGGCGCTCTCAAACGCGTCGATTGCGCCCGCTGAGACTTGTTTTGCGCAAGTTTCCCCAAGATCTGCGACTTTGTTGACGATCGAATCACATCCAGCCACTTCGCACGTCGCTTCAAAGTGTCTCACAACCAGGTTGCCGTAATTGTAATACGCCGAAGTCGCGCTGTCCTTGACAAAGTTGGCCGCGTCACCGACTCCTTCGCTTATATCCGTGATGACGTTTTTCAATTGCGCGTTCTCGTAAACCGTATTCGCCGCGCTCGCGATGTGCTTGACGTACTTCGCGACGTGTCGTCGCCATAACTTACCAGTGAGCTTCTTCAGCTTCTTCGCCCAGTCGGTGAAAAAGTCAAAAAAACCGCCCAAGTCCGCCGCGGAATCGACCGCAAGCGCCGCCTCGGCCGCCTCGGCCGCTTTCTCCGCCGCCTCTTCGAGCGCAATCACCGGATTCACGACGTGAACATCTCCTCGTTGCCGTCTCTCTTCGAGCTCGCGCTGGAATCGCCTCGATCTCGCGCCCGCGCGCCCCATCGCCTCCAACTCGCGCGCCGTCATCAATCGCGTCGACCGTTCCTCCAGCGTCACACCTCGAGGTCGCGGCGGGCCGAACAATCCATCGCTCGACGTCGTCACCATCGCCCCGACCATCGCGAGGAGCACCGCGACCGCGACCGCGACCGCGCGCGCCCGTCGTCCGGCCGTCGTCCGCGTCACCCACCCCGCATCGATCGCCCGCGCGCCGTCGTCACCGTCGTCGTCGTCCGCCGCCGACCGCGCGCGCGCCGTCGAGCCGTACCGCGCCATTCGCGCCATTCGCGCCGTTCGCGCGCGTCGATCGCCGTCGTCGCGCGCGCGCGCGAACGCGGGGAGTTGGTTCGGGGTGTTGGGTGCGCGTGTGATACACTCACGAGTCACGACTCACCACATCCCCGTACACCGTAACGGCGACGTAATCCAGCGATCCCGCGCGCGCGCGCCCTCGCGGCGACGCCCTCGCGCGCCCGCGCGCGGCGAAAACGCCTCGTCGCCGCGCGCGTCGGTCGCGTCCCGCGCGCGCGACGCGCGGTCGACGACGGGGGCGTCGAGACGGCGGACCCGTCGCGGGGGTCGGTGCATGCGAAAAACACCCGATCTTCACGGCATCATCCGTCTCGCGACGCGTCATCGCTCGTCGTCCGTCCGCGCGCGCCGCGATGTCCGTCCGCGCCCGAGCGTCGGTCTCGGTGGACGTCGGGCGACGCGCGCGGGCGACGCGCGCGGGCGACGGTGGACGAAAGACGGCGCGGGCGAGGACGGCGCGCGCGCGCGCGTCGTCGGTGACGGACGACCGCGACGGCGCGCGCGGTGATCTCGACGCGTTAGCGGACGCGCGCGTCGTCCGAGCGAGCGATGGGGCGGTGATGCGCGCGGGGGGAGAGGCGATCGGGCGCTCGGGACGGGCGGTGACGCTGTTCCTGACGCAGTTTGGGGATTTCGATTCGTGGGAGCTCGCGCAATTTTTGGTGGACGACGTCGAGCGAATGCGGAGAGAGGGCGCGGAGGTGGTCGCGATCGGGATCGGCTCGGTCGAGGCGGCGCGGGAGTTCGCGGCGCGAACGAATTTTCCGGCTGATCGATTGTACGCGGACGAGAGCGCTTCGTGTCACGCGGCGCTGGGCTTCGCGCCGGGTCTGGGACGAAAGGGGGGCGATTTCGAGTGGATGGCGAAGACGCCGATCAACGGGTACGGGAAATTATTGCTCATGTGCGCCGGGATAGGGTCCCCGGGGACGCTCCGCGCGGTGTTCGGTGGATACACCGGCAGCAAGTACAAGGATGAAATCTTTCGGGAGGGCACAAACGTTGACGTACCAAAGATTCGCAAGGCGATGAAGATGACGCTCGGAGACGGTTACCTTCGCCCTTTCGAGTTGGCGACGCTGAGACTGAATAACATGATTGAAATCTTGAACAACTGGGAGGCGTTGACGCCCAAGGATAGCGATTTGCTCGTGCAGCGAGGGGGCGTCATCATCTTTGAAGACGGCAAAACCAAATTCAGGCACGACGACGCGGGTATTTTAGGATTTTGCCCGGCAGCGCGCGTGGTCGAGAAGGCGTTGAGCGCAGATCCGTCAGCCAAGCCAGATCCAGTGAAGACGCTTCACCTTGCCGCAGAGTCTCGACGAGCGTACGTCGACGACATCTTCACCTCCATCTCCGCCCTGGAGAAGTCCAAGGACAAGGCAAACGTCCAGGGCGAAAAGTTGACGGGCAAGTGGCGCTTGATTTACACCACGGGTACGAAGAAAGTGGCGGCAAACATCAACAAAACGGGAGGTGGGAGTTATTTTCCCGTTCCTGCCGTACAATCGTTTGACCTGAACTCGGGACGCATTCGCAACGGGATCTATCTCGGTCCGCTCAAGTTTTTCTTCGACGGTCCATTCATCTGGCGAGAGAAACTGAATATGCTTGAGTTCACGTTCACGCGCGTGAGCCTAGCGCTCGGCCCCCTGGGCCCGTGGTCGAAGGATATCGACGACGGAAAGTGGGAAAGCGTGAAGGCAGCGGAACAAAACGCAAGCTCAGGTCAAGGAATGATTGAGAAGTCCGACGTCAAGTCCTCCAAGCCCGGCGCCAACCCGTTCTTCAAATTCGTCTACACAGATGACAAGTGCATCGCGGCGCGCGGTAGAGGTGGTGGATTGGCCCTGTGGGCCCGTGTCGGCGATCCGGAGACGGATGCTCAAGAGTAGACTTCTGGACATTTTAATCATCAAATTGCAAAATCGCGCTCACGTATTCGCTCGCGTCTGGACACGAACGTGTGAGCGTGTCTCGCACGTTCTTTATGATCCGCCGTCGTTTCGCGTTCCCCGGCTCGGTCGAAGACCACGCGTGGAGTAAAGCGTCGCACACATTTGGAACGAACTGCGTTGAGCGATTCTCCGCAACGCGTACCATGGTCTCGGTCAAAGTCAACGCGCGGACGATGATGTCCTCGGACCAGCCTGATTCGGCGTGGTTCTTGAGTTCGGCGAGCGTTGGGAGGAGCATATCCCCAAGGTTTCGACACACGACGTCCTGAAAGTTGGTCAACGAGCTCGTGGATACGGCCTCCGCGACCCGTCTCACGTCGTCTATGTCGTCCCCGAGAGCGCTGAGCACGTACGGCAAAACGCGAGGGGCGTGCGCGCACACCTCTCCGTTTTCATCGCGTAACAGCGAGTCGCACAACCGCACAAACTCAGCTCGTACGTGCGGCGAGACGTCGCGCGTCAACGCGCCAAAGTGATTCACCCGCCCGGACCCGCCGCCCGTGAGCGCAAACGTCAAATCTCTCCGATCGCACCACTCCCTCGCGACGTCCGCGAGCGCGCTCAACGTCGCGCGTCGAACTCGGCCCAACCGATGTCTAACCCCTACCGCGACGACGCCCTCGACCGCGCTCGCCGGGTCCTCCGCCTCCCTCGCCTCGCGCAGCGCCTCTCCCAACAACCCCTCCGCCTCCGACGCGCTCGCGTCCACGAGAAGACGCTCCAGCGTCGCCATCCCGCGACGCCGCGCTCGATCGATCTCCTCGGTCTCGATCACCCCTCGCGTTCGGCACCGACGCGACCGCGACCGAGGCGTCGCGCACTGTTGAAACGACGGTTCATCTTCTCTAAATTCCCGACGCCGCCCGGGGGAACTAAAAAAGCGAAACGGCGCGCGCCGACGGTACATCGCGACGCGCCTCCACCGCGCGCGAGATCGAACGCGAGACGACGCGCGGAGAGAGAGGTGGAAAAAATAATGCCCGTCTCGAGCGCGCGAACGCGATCGACGCGCGCGCGTTCGGGCGCGTCGAGAGTGCGCGATGAGAAATTAAACGACGATGGAACGACGGGGCGGTGGGGGGCTGAGGAGACGACGGAGACGTTCGGGTTCACCCCGATCGGGGCGATGCGATCGTTGGAGAACGTTGAACTGAGCGCGGAGCGAAATAAGGGGTCGGTGAGGGAGGCGGAGACGCCGAAGAGCGGGAAGCGGGTGAGGCGGACGTCGACGCCGGGAAAGCGGCGCGCGAGCGCTCCGCGTGTCGAAGCGGCGGATGACGAGCGTGAGAACGACGCGACGGCGACGATGAAGGAGGATTTGAATGACATCAATGTCGTGGAGAGCGAACGGAGAGCGTCGAAGACGTTTTGGGCGCCGACACCGTCGATGCCGCGCGCGGCGCCGGCGCCGTTGGCGCGAACCAACGGCTTGCCGCCGACGCCGGCGGTGTACAACGCCGTGCCGTGGCCGAGCTCGATTCCGATCGTGGAGCAATCGCCTGTGAGAACGACCGCGAACGGAGCGATGAAAGCGGACGCGATGGCGTACGCGACACCGGGCGGGCAGGTGCGCGAGGTGCTGGAGCCACGCGAGGTGCACGCCTTCGCCAGAGCACCAGCACTGGCGCTCGCACCGCTCGCGCACGGACCGAAGGAACTCGCAGCGCAGCTCGTTGAGGTTAAACGTGAGATCGCGAAGCGACAGAGCGAAGCGATTGAGGTCTCTCGAGTGCTTCGACAGCTTCAGTGCGAGGAGGCGGATCTGTTCTCCAGAGCGGCGGAGATTCAGCGCCAACTTCTCCAGTGTACCACCGAAGAGCAGCCCTACGATTTGAGCGTGACGATCGGATCGAATAGTGTCGAACGAATGATCGCTTTGGAGGAGCGACCAGACACGACGCCGCGATCTGTTCAGAGAAGTGCGCAGCGAGGCGTTGACGTGCCAGTGGAGCAAGCGCAACCATCGACATCCAAGATAGTCGCCAAAGACATGCGACCGTTCCAAAAGTTAGACGTGCGCAAGGCAATGATCTCTGTCGATTTCATCGACGGCCCGGGTGGCTTATCGCTCTTCACTGCGAGTGCGGATAACTGCTTGCGTCTATGGGCTCCGGACAGCCGCAAGCCCGCAGCACTCATTCGTGCTCCAAGAGGCATGAGCTCGACGACGGTGATGAACGAGCGCGTTGTGTGCGTCGGGACCGAGCTTGGGCAGGTTGTCCAGATCGATATCGCCACCGGTATGCTAATCGGCTCTCTCACGCACGGTGAGCACGCCGCGCCGTGGAGCGTGAAGACGCTCGCCAAGTTTGGTCAAGAGGAGTCTGCGCTCGTCGCCGCAGCGGGCATGGGCGGTGACATCAAGATTTGGGACGCTCGCATCGCGCGCGGTGGCGGAGCTCCGATGGTGATGTACTCTCACGGCGCAGCGGAGATTCGCGGGATGTCCTTCTCCCCAGACGGGCACACGCTCGTTGCGGCAGCTTCCAATGATTTGCGCGCCTTTGATTTACGCATGAACGGCCGATCGACCCGCCTGAGCGTCGCCGAATCGTCGCATACGTCGTGGAACTCCGTGTTCCACGACGCGTCGACAAGCGAGATCCTGGCCTTGTCGAGTTCGGGTGACGTACATGCGTGGTCCGCCTCCGCGCCGTACGCTCACGCGAGAACCGTCCGAGCGGTGTGCGCTCCGAACTCCAGCGCCGCCTTAGTGCTCGAGGGCACTTTATTCTGTCCCGTCCACGACGATGCGTGCGGCGTAGACGTCGTGCGTCACGCCACGTCCGAGGTCATCGCCCGTTGGCGCCCCTCCGACGCGGATGACGGCGCCGCCGTCGCGTGCGTCGCCCGCGCGTCTGCCGGCGACGTCCTCCACCCCTACGGTCGAGGTACGCTCGCGATCGGCACCGTCACCGGCACCGTCTGCGTCTTTGCCCCCGATTCCATCCCGAATGCGTGAAACGTCAACGTCGTGTAATCACCATCCAACTCGCGCGTCGCCTCTGTCCCGCGCCTGCACAAGCCAGAAAACACCCGAAAATGCGCACTGGCGGCGAGACCATCGCACGTGCGTCATCACTCGACGCGCCGACCCCTCGCCCGCGCCCGCGATGTCGCTCGCGTTCGATGAGTTCGGTCGACCCTTCATCATCATCAAGGTGCGCGCGCGCGAGGCGGAGCGCGAACGCGCGAGGCGGAGACGGATGGAGAGAAGGTTTCGATCGACGACTGGAGACTGACGACGCATCGCGATGTTTTCACTCGTGACGCGTAGGAACAAGGAAATAAGACGCGAGTGAAGGGCATTGACGCGCAGAAGGCGAATATCGCGGCGGCGAAGAGCGTGGCGCGGACGCTGCGGTCGTCGTTGGGACCAAAGGTGGGATTGAAAGATGACGCGACGCGCGGGCGTTGACTCAAACCAGCGGGCGTTGACTCGAGCCGCGCGCGACGACGATCGAGGGGGTGGGAGACTGACGAAAGAGCGGTATGGTTTTACGAAACTATAGGGGATGGATAAAATTTTGCAATCACCGGACGGAGACATCACGATCAGTGCGTTTTGAGCGAGAGAATCTCGCTTGAAGGATGAGACGGGAGCGCAGAGCGACGGGCGAGAGGGTTGACTTGAGAAGTGAGACTGACGATGGCGATCACGCTCCGCGCGCGCGTTTCGCAGCAAACGATGGAGCGACGATTTTGGAACAAATGGAAGTCGAGCACGAGATCGGTAAGCTCATGGTGGATCTGTCCAGGTCTCAAGATTTCGAAATTGGCGACGGCACCACGGGCGTGGTCGTCTTGGCCGGATCCCTCTTGGAACAAGCTGAGACTTTGCTCGATCGAGGGATTCACCCGCTCAGGATCGCGGAGGGCTACGAAATGGCGGCTAAGGTAGCGACGAAGGAGCTGGCGAGAATCAGCGAGAAGTTTGAGTTTGACGTGAATAATATTGAACCACTGATTCAAACATGCATGACGACGCTGAGTAGTAAAATTGTGAACCGTTGCAAGCGGGAGATGGCGGAGATTTGCGTCAAAGCCGTGATGGCGGTTGCGGATTTAGAACGTAAGGATGTGAACTTAGACTTGATCAAGCTTGAGGGCAAGGTTGGCGGAAAGCTCGAGGATACGATGCTCGTGAACGGCATCGTTTTGGACAAAGACATCAGCCACCCGCAGATGCCGAAGGAGATCAACGACGCAAAGATCGCCATTTTGACCTGCCCCTTCGAGCCGCCGAAACCAAAGACGAAGCATAAGATTGAGATCGATACGGTGGAGAAGTACGAAGAGCTTCGTCAGCAGGAAGAGACGTACTTCAACGACATGGTCAAGCAGTGCAAGGACAGTGGGGCGACTCTCATCATCTGTCAATGGGGCTTTGACGACGAGGCCAACTCGATGCTCATGCAACAGAAGCTTCCCGCGATTCGATGGGTCGGTGGCGTCGAGCTCGAGCTCTTGGCCATTGCCACTGGCGGTCGCATCGTGCCGCGATTCACTGAGTTGACGCCGGAAAAGCTTGGTTCTGCTGGAAAGGTGAGGGAGCTCGCGTTCGGCACGACGAAGGACCGCATGGTGATCATTGAAGACTGCGCCGCGAGTAAGGCAGTGACGGTGTTCGTGCGCGGTGGTAACAAGATGATGGTCGATGAGACTAAGCGTTCGCTGCACGATGCTATCTGTGTCGCGCGCAACCTCGTCCGATCGAACAACATTGTGTACGGCGGCGGCTCTGCTGAAGTCGCGTGCGCCATCGCTGTTGAGGAAGAGGCGGATAAGATCGCCACCGTCGAGCAGTACGCCATGCGCGCGTTCGCCGATGCGTTGGATGCCGTGCCCACAGCCTTGGCTGAGAACTCTGGCCTCGCCCCAATCGAGACCGTGGCGAACATTAAGGCGCAACAGCTCAAGGAGAAGAACCCGTTCCTCGGTGTCGACTGCAAGGAAACGGGCACCAACGACATGAAGTCCCAGGGCGTGTTCGAGACCTTGATCGGGAAGCAGCAGCAGATCTTACTCGCCACCCAAGTCGTGAAGCTCATCTTAAAGATCGACGACGTCATCATCAGCGGCGACGCCGACATGTGAGCGCACTCGACGCTCCGCCAAATGTAACGAAGGAAGAGACACTCGTGACTATCACTAGCCCCTCACTTCGCGCCTCTATCTAGCTGAGCGCCCGGGTCGAGGTCCACTCTCGACGTCCGGGAGCCATGGGTCCCTCCGCGCGCGGTCTCGAGCTCGATGTCCTCGACCACGACGGCGCAAGAGAGATCTTTGAAGAGCTCTCGCTCGCCCACCGAACTTGTTTCCCGGGAGAATCTTCCGACGCCGCCGACCCAGACGCGTTCTTCGCCCGCGCGGCGTGGCTCCATGATGAGCGTGATGCCGTGTGGTTCGTCTTGCGCGAGTCAGATAGCGGGAACGGGAAGAGACGCGTGGTCGGGTTCGCGTGCGGGTTCGCGTACGCGGACAGTTGGTACGGAGCGCACCTGGGCGTAATACCAGAGTTTAGGAAACGCGGGTTAGGATCGTATTTGATGCGCGTTTCGCAGGCGCACGCGGGAGAGTTAGGGTTAACGCGCTTACAAGCGAGTGTGGAGATCGATCCGAAGATTGGGAGGGGGCGATTGTTGAGGTATTACGAGCGGCACGGCGCGCGCGTGCGAGAGACGGGATTTGGAAGCGCCGGGAGTGTTCCGGCCAGCGTAGTGAGGATCGAGAGAGTTTTCACGAGAGATGGCGCCAAGAGTGAGTTGACTAGCTCGGAGCGAAGCGTTTTCGGCTCTTGTGAGGGGAGGTCTCGAGGGCATCGGATCGCGGTGTTGGTGGGCACGATTTTAGCCGTCTTTGCGACGATGAACTTGATAAAGAGATCGTCGCGCGTCGTTAGATACTAGAATGTAGTGTTACATTGCTTAGAACATACAAAGAATCAAAGTTCGGTTATCTTCCAGTTCGACGGAATCGCAGGTTCGACCTCGTCGATGAGGGCAACGTTCGTCACGCTCGGAGCGGCGTCTCGTTTCACCACGCGCGGTCGTCCCGTCTCCCGGTTCAGCTCGACATCGAGACCTTTTGCCAGAAGCTCTTCGCTTTCTTCCACGGCTTGGGGCTGCAGCTCGATGATTTTCTGTCGAGCCGCGTCGCTAACTTCAGTCATGTTACGAACTGCCCACAACGCCCACTCTCTGAGATACGCTTCTCCGTCTTCGCCGCGAGTGTGATTCAACACCATCGGAACGCCTCCAAGACTAACAACGAGGTCGCATACTTGAGCACGATTGAACGATGCGTTACCGATGATCGCGATGAGATCAACTCTATATCCGGTCCATGGTAAGGTACTTGGATACTTGACGTCGCCCTTGAGCTCTTCGGGCACGTCAGCCTCAAGCCGAGGAGCCGCCGCCGGTCCAGTCGCCTTACTCGTCTGTCCGATACCCTCCGGCGGTGATAGCGCGGCAAGAAGCGAGAGAACAAGTCTCACGAGCCCCATGGCCGCTAAACAGGCCACAGTGTCGCCAAGATGCGGTTTAACCTCGCGCTCGCTCATCTTTCGCAAAATGCTCACGCACTCCATGAATAACGAAAGCGCGACGTTTCGTTCGTCTTCATCCGCCGCAGCGGCAAGCCGTCCAGCAACAATGGAAGTGGTGTCTAATAAAAACGCCAAAACCTCTTGCGGCATCAAGAGTGGCGGTTGAACGCCCTCGGGGATCTCAGAGAGCGGAATATCGACATACGCCGTCGCATCTTTATCGTCCATGATGGCGGCTATGAAATGCAATAAAGTCGCTTGCTCGGAAACGTACTCGAGGAGTAGTGATTGTTTTATCGTTGAACCCACCGCTGAGGACTCGTCCACGGCGAGGGTGACTAGGCGCTCGCGAAGCATCTCTTCTCTCCGCGACTGGACGTCGGAGGCATTCGGAGACAAACCTCGAAACAATCTCGGCAAACCGTCTCCGCGGCAACACACCGCGCACACGAGCGACATCAAGTGTACACCACCGCCTACGCCTTCGGGTTCGCCGCGTTCCGCGGATGCCCTGAGAATTTCGCGCCAAAACGTCCAAGACCCGTCAACCGCGCGCTTCGTCCGCTCCGAGTCGTTTCTCACGCTCGCTTCGACGAACGCGCACGCCAATCCGTGCGTCTTCGCCGCGAAAACCCCTCTCGTGGATGACACCTCGCTCAAAGCATCACTCACGATCTCGCTCGCCCACGACTTCTCGTAACACCTCGCGTCGTCCATCCCAGCGTTCGCGAGCGTCTGCAAGGCAAACATCCCACACTTTGCGCACTCGACGTCACGCTCCCCAGCGTTCCACGCCCGAGCCGCCTCCATCGCCACCATTAACATCCGTTCGCACCCTCCATCGCGCACGAACGCCTCCGTACGCTCCACATTCCCCGCCAACGCGTTCCTCGTCTCCCGCGTCTCCCGGGCTTCGCCGGTCCACCGCTCAGCACCCGTCGCCATCCTTCTTCCTCACCCGCGGTCCGTGACAACACAGCACCAGCGCCCACCCCCGGGCGAGTGAATTCACCCCCGCCTCGCACGCCGTCGTCCGCTCCCCGCTCGACGCCCGCGACGTCTTCTTGGTCGACTTTACGTTTGCGACGCTCCCGCTCGAGGTCAAGAAATCGTCGAACGGCTCCTCTCCCGCGCTCGCGTACGCGCTCGCGCTCGCGCTCGATGACTCGACGTCCAACGTCTCGGGCCCTCGGGCGTCGATCGGTCTCGCCTCCGTCGGCATCGACCGCGACGTGGCGACGCGACGACGCGCGTCGCCGTGCGCGCGCGGTTGGCGGTGCCGTTTGTCCGAACTCTCGTTTTATGTCGAATGTAGCGCCATGTATTGAATTTACGGTTGCAAAAGTCGACGCGCGGCGAATTCCGTCACGATGGACGCGCTCTTCGGACGCGGGTCCTCGAACGAGGCGTCGTCGGCGAGCGCGCTGAAGGTGGTGAACTGTCCGAGTCAGGTACGGGTCGATGTCGCGCGATTCGACGCGCTCTAGACGCGAAAGATTGCGACGTTCGATCGAGATCGCACACTCCAAAAATCTAACCTCTGGACGCTTCGCGTCGACGAACGCAGGAGCTCGCGAAGACGAACAAGGCGTTCGTGAGCGCCTCGGACTTCTCGCGCATTGGACCGTACGCCGAGATGGGGGATCGGGTGTTCATGACGGACGTCTCGAGTGAGATCGCGGACGGTTCCGTGGGCCTGAACTCGGCGCAGCGAGCGCAGTTGAGAGTGTCCGTCGGTGACGTCATCAGATGGGCGTCATACGAGCCGCCGAGTCGGGAGTTTGATTGCGTCGGTATGACGATTGAGTTGGAGTTCACCAGACCTGGGATGGCGGCGGAGCTCACGGGGAGAAACCAACACGAGGCGGTTGAGGCGGAGGCGCTCACGAGCGTGTTGAGGCGGACGTTCAGCTCGCAGGTGTTCACGGTGGGGCAGAAGGCGGCGGTGGAGTACTGCGGAAAGAATTATTTCATCACTATCAATCATCTGGTGGTGGAAGGGGCGAGAGAGGGCGTGCAATCGATGCGAGGGATGTTCACGCCGTCGACGACGGTGGTGTACGAAGCCATGGCGAGCAGTGGGATTAAAATTTTAGGTCAAAAGGCGACGGTAATGAACACCGGTCTGTTTAAGAGTAAGGATTTTAGTTTTTCCAAGCTCGGTATCGGAGGTTTGGACAAGCAGTTCGAGGATATCTTCAGACGCGCGTTCTCCTCGCGGATTTTTCCGCAGAGCGTCGTGCAGCGACTCGGCATCCAACATGTCAAGGGTATGCTGCTTCACGGCCCGCCAGGTACGGGTAAGACGCTCATCGCGAGACAAATTGGGAAAATGTTGAACGGGAAGGAACCGAAGATCGTGAACGGGCCGGAGATCATGTCCAAATACGTCGGTCAGTCAGAGGAGAACATCAGAAAGTTGTTTGGCGATGCCGAGGACGAGTTCAAGGCGCGCGGCGACGATAGCGAGTTGCACATCATTATCTTCGACGAAATCGACGCAATCTGTAAGGCGAGAGGTAGCGTTAACAGTGGCACGGGTGTGCACGATTCCATCGTGAACCAGCTGCTCACAAAGATAGATGGCGTTGACGCGCTGAACAACATTTTACTTATCGGCATGACAAACAGAAAAGACATGCTGGACGAGGCCATGCTCCGTCCAGGTCGCCTGGAGGTTCACATCGAGATTGGATTGCCAGATGAGAGCGGTAGGATACAGATCTTGAATATTCACTCGAACAAGATGACGGAGAACAAGTTTCTCGGAGCCGACGTCGATTTGGCGGAACTCGCCAAGCGCACAGGTAACTTTAGTGGCGCAGAGATCGAAGGTTTGGTCAAGTCTGCGGTATCTTTTGCTTTGACGCGACAAGTCGATATGAATGACATCGGGGCGACGATTGAAGAGGAAAATATTAAGGTAACCATGGCAGATTTCGAGCTTGCGTTGCTTGAGGTGAAACCGGCTTTCGGGGCATCGACAGATCAGTTTGAACGATGCATGTTGAACGGCATGATTTCCTACGGAGAAAAGTACGAAAAGTTGGTCTCGACGATGCAGTCACTCATCGAGCAAGTGCGGGTGTCTGAAAGAACGCCCATGCTCACGTGTCTGCTGGAAGGAAACGCGGGAAGCGGAAAATCGGCGCTCGCAGCTGCGCTTGCGCTCAAGTCTGCGTTCCCATTCATGAAGCTCTTAACGTCCGACGGTTTCGTGGGCGCTTCCGAGGCGGCGAAGTGTCAAGCGCTTGCTAAGCTATTCGATGATGCGTACAAGTCTCCGCTCTCGTTGATCGTCCTGGATGACATCGAGCGCTTGCTCGAGTACGTCTCCATCGGTCCTCGCTTCAGCAACGTTGTCCTGCAAGCGCTCTTGGTGTTACTTAAACGCCAGCCGCCGCAAGGACGGAAGCTATTGGTGATCGGCACCACGTCTTTGCCGCTCGTTTTCGAGGAGATGGGTCTGAACGCCGCCTTCAACGTGTCCTTACACGTCCCCGAACTGAGCCCTAGCGAAGCCGCCGGCGTGCTCTCGCACATCGGCGCCTTCTCCGCCGACGACCTCCCGTCGGCATGCCAAGCCCTCCAAGCCCTCGCGGGCGAACGCATCGCGATCAAAAAGTTATTCATGCTCCTCGAGATGGCTCGTCACGGGAAAGCGCACGAGGACGACATGTCGGACGCCGCGAACGCGGACGAGCCCGTCGCCCTCGAGCGTTGGGTCGCCTGCCTCCGCGATCTCGCGCAGTGAGCGCGCGCGTCTCACGGCGGTCCGCGCGAAGCGTTTCTATCGTATTACATCATCACGAATCAATCGAGCGCTCCATCGAGCCATCGAATCGATCGCGCGCTCGAACCGTCGCCTCCCCGATCGGCCCATCCTCGCTCACTTCTTCTTCCTCGGCGCGAAGATCCCGGTGATCCCGCTCACGACGACCCCGTACGTGACCCCGGCCGCGACCGCGCCGACGCGCAGGAAACCCGCCAACGAGCTCGCGCCCGAGTACGGACCACCGCTCATGGCGCGCGACGTCCGTCGACGTGTATCGCGCCCTCGCGCGTCGGTCGACCCCCCTTTCGATCGCGCGACGCTCGAAAGGGGCGATCGGTGAAAAACGCGACGAACGAAAGGGGCGATCGGTGAAAAACGCGACGATCGCGCCTTTCGATCGCGGCCTCGCGCGCGCGAGGGGACGCGGACGACGACCGAGGGCGTCCGCGACGACGCACGCGCGCGCGCGGTCGCGGCGACGCGGCGAGTGCGATCGCGCGAACGCTCGAGCGGGGCGGCGGCGTCGACGCGAGATCGAGGGAGGCGTCGGGAGGCGAGGGAGGATTTGGAATTTGAAAATCAACGACCGAACGATGCGGGCGGTGTTGGCGTCTTCGCGGACGATGGCGCGACCGATGTCGTCGATGTCGTCGCGCGCCGCGGGACGGGTTGTGGCGCGGAAGACGAACGCGCGAGTGTCGAGGACGTCGGTGACGATGAAGTCGACGATGGAGTGGACGCGCGCGCGCCGCGGGACGGCGACGCGCGCGACAAACGGCGGGAACGGCGGGAACGGTGGCGGTGGAAACGGTGGAAACGGTGGGAACGGCGATGGTTTTGGTTCTTCTAACGATGGTCAAAACGGTGGCGTTCGCGCTTTATGGGCGGCGTACCTCGGGGCGCTGGAAAAGAACCCGCTGCCAACGAAGATGGCGACGTCGGGCGTGCTCAACGCGCTCGGTGACTTGTTCGCGCAGTTCGCGTTCGATGACGCGGCGAACAAGGGCGTGGACTGGCGACGCGCCGGAATCTTTACCATACTCGGGAGCTTTTTGGTCGGTCCGGCGCTGCACTTCTGGTACGGTACGCTCGGGAAGATTGTCACCGCGCAAGGGAGCGCGAAGGCGTTCATCAGCCTCGCGCTCGACCAAGGCGTCTTCGCCCCGACGTTTCTGTGCGTTTTCCTCTCCGCGCTCTTCACCATCGACGGTAAACCTCAAGAGATCGCGCCCAAGCTTAAGCAAGATTTTGCGAGCACGGTGACTATGAACTGGAAAATTTGGATTCCTTTCCAATTCTTAAACTTCCGATACGTCCCGCTCCAGTTGCAAGTCGCAGCGGCCAACGTGGTGGCGCTCCTGTGGAATACCTACCTGTCGTGGGCGTCGCACAAGGAAGTAGTCGTCGTAGAGACCTCGTCGAAGGGCAAAAAGAAGAAGAATTAGGTGAACGCAAGTTTTATTGTACAAACTAAATGGTCGCCCCCGAGCACGACGAGCCGGAACCTGCGGTGCATCCGAAGCAGTGATTGTCGGCGACGATGTGCGCGCCTACTAAATCATCGCACGAATTGAGATCGAAAATCGTCGTTTTCGCCCCACGCACGGGCATGTCAAGCTGTTGATTGAAATCGCAGTCGAACAGCCGCCCGTCCCACGAGACACTGATGAGGTCCCGACACATCACTCCGACCGACGCCGCGACGTTAAAATTGTTCACGAGCAGGCTCATGTACTCGCTCGTCTTATCCTCCTTGTGCAAGTAATCGGCGAAGCGCTTGATCGGCATGTTTGTCAGCGTGAACAAACGAGAGAACTCTACTCCCCAGGTGCCTCGTAGCTCGCTTCGGTACGCCTCTTCAAGTTTTGCTTGCGCCGGAGGCAAAAACGCCCCGCCCGGGTTATACATGAGATCTAGCTCCAGGCCGGTACCTTCGACACCGTATCCCACCGCGTTTAGATCCTTGAGCGCCGCGATCGAGCGCTCAAACACCCCCCGGCCTCGCTGCGCGTCTGTGTTTGCCTCACTGTAGCACGGAAGCGACGCCACGACCTTCACCTTGTTCTCCGCCAAAAATTGTGGCAGATCTTCTTGCCCCTCCTCGTAGAGCACTGTAAGATTACACCTGTCAATCACCTCCACCCCGAGCGCTCGTGCCTCAGTGACGAGATATCGAAACTGTTTGTGTAATTCGGGCGCGCCGCCCGTCAGGTCCAGCGTGCGCACGCCTGGGGAGTTCTTCAACACGCGAATCACTTGCTCCGCCGTTCGCTCGTCCATGACTTCGCTCGTCCTCAACGGCGACGACTCCACGTGGCAGTGCGAGCACGCTTGATTGCAATACAGCCCGATGTTCACCTGAAGTATCGTCGTCGGCTCGCGCTCGAGCACCTTTCCGCCTCGCTCCTCGAGAAAAGCCTCGAACGACGGTACCCCGAGCCCGTCCAGCGCTCTTCGACGACGCGCACGCTCTTCCTTGGTCAGCGCGCGCTGTCCGAGCTCGCTCAGGCGCTGTTGCGCGGTCTGAAACTCGACGTCCGTCGCCATCTCCTCAAGGGTCTCCGCGACGAGCGAGCCGAACGCGCGCGCTTCCGAGGGTTCGGCGTGCGAACGGATCGTGCGGTGGCGTAAACGCGCGTTCGGGACGTGTGATCGCTTGGCGACTCGGGGAGTGAGGTCGAGTGCTCGCATGATGGGAAGTCTTCTCGCGACGCGTCGAGCACTAAAGCGTTGCGACCGAGCGGTCAATTTACACGGCTACGCCACGGGTCCGGCTAGGACGTCCTCGTTGACCGTGGTCACTCGAGGGCCGTTTTGAAGGTTGAATTTGGACTCTAAAGACGTCGGTTTCCCGGGAGTTTGGCGCTGCTTGATGATGGCGATCTCCGATTGGATCTCCTCCAAGCGCTGCGCCGACGAAGGCACCGGACGCGGGACGCGGGAGAACGCGGCGCCACCGGTGAGGTCGGTGACTCGAGACCAGCTCGCGCGACTCTGTGTCGTCGGTGTTACGGGACTACCGCGAATGGTGCGGTGCAACTCCAACGCGGCGCCGAGCTGGGCGCGCCAAGGTTCGGTTTGACTCGCAGACTTTGGCGAAGTCGATTTCGGCGAAGCCACATCTTTCAAATCGTGCTTCTCCATGCGCAGGCGCTGAACCTCCATGCTCGCCTCGCGCTGCGCCTCGATCGAGCGCAGGACCGTTGCCTCGGCGTCCGCAGCAAAATCTGCGATTGTTTGCTTCGCAGCCTCCATGCATTCGAGCTGTCGTTGAAGCGCCATCCTCTGTCGTCGCTCCTCGTGGAGCTCATACTCGAGTTCTTGCTTCGCCATGTGCACATTGTGGGCGAGGTTTCCTTGTTTTTGCGCCTCAATCGCTGCATCGCGAGCGGAGGCGGTATGCTTTGAAATTTGCATGGCGTATTCCTGGACTCGCTCCGCGCACTCCGCTCGAATCTCTTCCTTCTCCCGAAGTGCCGCACGTTCTGCGTCCCCTAGCTTACCGACCAGACGTTCCACCTCGCCGTTCAGTCGCTTAACATCCTTTTCGAAAATTTTAACACGATTTATCGCATCGTTTCGCTCTTGGACCGCGATCGTGAGCTCTTTGGACTGCGTACTCTCTCGCAAGGTGCTGCCTTCGATCAACTGCTCAAGTTCATCACAACGAGCCTGCATGTTCACGCTCTCCTCCGTCTTCTTCAGCAACTCGGACGTCAATCGAACGTTCTCATCCCTTGCAGCTCGTAAGTGCGCGAGAGTGAGCTTTAGGTGCTCCTCTGCGGTCGATTTGGCCGAGTTTGCAATCGCAAGCTCTCGTTTCAGCTCGACGTTTTCTTTCGAGAGCTCCGAGTCCGCCACGCGACCGCCCTCTATCGCGGCGATCTCATTCTTCGCGTGCGCCGCCATGACTTCCGATGCCTCCGCTCGCCGCGTCGCCTTATCTCGCTCCTCTTTCGCGCTACGAAGATCCCGTCGCAGCGCTTCGTTCTCTCTTCCCATGACGTCCTCCAGCGCTCTGTATCGCTCCAACTTGCCGCGCTGCTCCTCGACGTCTTCTCGTAATCGCGCGCACCGCGACTGCTCGTACTCGAGATTTTTCCTCAAACTCGCAATCTTAATCTCTCTCCCGACGTTCCCATCGTCCAAGTCCACCGTCTCACCCTCGCCGCGCGCCGCGCGCGCGAGCGCGTCCTCCGCCGAGCGCAGCGCCTCTGCGAGCAACGCGTTCTCCTCTCTCAAATCTCTCACCAACGACCCACTCGTGGACGGACTCTCGCCCTCGCGTCTCTCACGCATCCCTCGCGCGCGCGCGCGCACGATTCTTCCCAACGCTTCCGCGTCCGCGGACGATTCCGCGCGCGCGCAGACGTCTCGCGCCGCGCCGTTCGCCACGCACGCGATCGCAATCTCATCCCTCTCCCAGCTCGCCCCGAGCACGCTCGTCCACGGAAACTTGGCGAGCGATACCACGTGTTCCTCCACGCCGTTTCCCCGCCCTCGCGCGACGACGCGATCGACGCGGACACCGCGCGCGCTGATCGCGATCTCCACCGGGACGCCCCCGTGGGCATCGCCCGACCCCTTCACCGTCGCCCTGAACGCGCGCGCGTCGACATCGCGTCCCGAACTCCCGAGCGGGCGCATCGCCCGTCGCGCGAGCGCGCGCGCCGAACGCGCGCGGCGCAGTGCGCGCGTGCGGGGCGTTCGTCATCGACGGAACGGTTTTCATCGCGCGCGCGCACGACCGCGGCACACCGCGTCGCGTCGCGCGCGCGCTCGAGCGCGACGACGTCGGCGGCGGGAACGAGAC